AGAAGGCATCACAGAAAACTGTTGTTGGTGATGAGTGGAACAGGGTGGGAGAGTGAGGCGGTGGGGGGATGAACGATTTGGCCCTCTGTGTTTTCTTTTACTATAATGCCACTGAACCGTCACGGCCATAAACGCAGGGGCAAGGGTGGCCCAAATCAAACATAAATCCTGAGACTGGAATCAAGAGCACGTCCACGCACTACTTGTGTGGATTCATGTGAAAAATAAAACACTATGCTGTAGACCAGAAATTGGCACAACATTGTACACTGCCTATACTAGAATTTTTAAAAAGGGAAAAAATTAAAATTTTAAAAATGAATGCATACTTTTTTTCAAGTGTGTGGGGGTGAGTCTGACCTGAGAGCCAGAATCAGACCCTCCCTTCTCCCTATTATAGGGGAAGACGCAGAGGGAAAGGTGGTGACAAAGTGTATCAGTCTGCTCAGGCTGCCACAGCAAGACACTGCAGACTGGGTGGCTGACGCAATGGGAATTTTTCACAGCTCTGGAGGCTGGAAGTCCAAGATCAAGGTGTCGGCAGGGCTGGTTCCCCCGAGGCCTCTGTCTTTGGCCTCATATGGCTGCCTTCTCTCGTGTCCCCATGCAGCCTTTCCTCTGTGCACACATCCCTGGTGTGTCTCTGTGTGTCAGGATGTCTTCTTATAAGGACACTAGTCAGACTGCACAGGGCCCACACTAACAGCCTTATTTTAACTTCATCACCTCATGAAAGGCCCTGTCTCCAAATTACAGTCACATTCTGAGCAATTGGGCGTGAAGATTTCAATACACGACTTGGTGGGGAGAGACAGTTCAGCCGGTAACACAGATAGTGGTGGCAACAATGACAGCAATAAGAAAGCGACAATCACAAACACGCACCTTTCCTAGGGTCGTAGAGGGAAGGGATGACACAGAGGGAACAGAACCCTGTCCCAGGCAGGCGTGGAAATGCAGGCTCACAGTGGGGCGGACTCTTCATCCTCAGTGAGCCTCGACCATCCCTGGCAAACGAACTGGCCCTCTCTGTCCCGGGCTCAGGAAGCTGGTACTGTGCCACGCACATCTCAGAAACAGCCGACATTATTTAATGATGCCTTTACCTGCTCCATCCTCACCCTATCCTTCCACGGCCAGTGAGTTAGGGCTTCTCATTGCAACAAACATTCTGTCAACCCCAACGGGGACATGGGACACCCAATGTGGTAGACAGGTCCCGCTCACCTGTCCCTCATTGGGCCGAGGGCTTGGCCTCCTGGGCGGTAGTCCAGCTGGCCAAGGGCAGACACAGTGAGCAGGGGTCCGGGCTGCATCGAGTGGAGGCTGTGAGGGGGCAGTGCTGCCCATCTGGGGTTCTGGGGGTGGCTTGGCCGCCCAGTGACTAAGGCATGCTCCAGTAAGGAAGGAAGCGTATGGCAGTGCTGGCATGTTGCGTCACAGGCCAAGCAATATAACCACTCCTCGGAGCAAGCGCTAAGAACAGCAGGACTTCTTGGTCCCTAGCCATTTGCCTGCCATCTCCACAGCCATGTGCCCGGGCTGGCTGGCCCTCACCCTCCTGTCTGTGCTGAGCCTGTGTACCCAGGCCTTCAACAGCCGGCTTGTCAAGTGCCTTGAGGACCCCCAGTATGAAGAGCTGGTGCGGCTGGCCCAAGACGGGCTGGGGCAGACGGCGGAAAGGAAACACATAGTAGTGATTGGAGCAGGCATGGCCGGGCTCACCGCTGCCAAGACCCTGCAGGACGCCGGCCACCAGGTACGTGATGGGGTGTGGGGGAGTCCTGCATGGGGGGCCTTGGGAGAGATGCAAGCGGACAGCCTCAGAGAACTGGGACGGGGGCTGGGTCTAGGGCTCTCGGTGTAGGGAGAAGGGCCACGAGGACCGGGTGGCATGACCAGATAGCAGGTAGGCCTGGGGAAGAGGCAGGAGGGCTGTGGGAGCTAGGGGATGTGGCCAGCTGTGTTGAGATCAAGACAGAGCTGTCTTTCTAGGTGACTGTCCTGGAGGCCTCAGGACGTGTGGGTGGCAGAATAGAGACCCACAGAGTGCCCGGAGCACAGTGGTATGTGGAACTGGGCGCCATGAGGATACCCGCCAGCCACAGGTACGGTCGGGAGAAGTGGGGGTGAGGAGGGGAGGCTGGGGTGTGGGCAGCTGTCTCATTGGTACCCTCGGGATTTTAGTCCATGGAGGTGATGAGTAGCCATGGAGAGGTTAACGCCACTGAGGGAATTTCTTATTTACATTTCCAGAGAGAAGGACACACCACACCACACAGGGCCCTGGGGATGCATCGGGATAGTCAAGAGGTAGAAGACAGGAGCAAAGCGAAGTCACAGGCCATGGCCTTTACTGGAGTTTCTAAGGGAAAGGCCAGGCAGGACGGAGAAACAGCTTAGGACTGGCTGGTCTGAGTGATGACAGTGGGCTCTGGGCTGCAGGGGTCATCTCTCGTTGCCTGGTACCGGGCCCTGGCTGAGTTAGGGCAGGGGAAGTACTGACTTGGTATGTGGATGGGAGCATGGCCTTGGGTCAGCCCCGTCTGCACGGTGAAAGGAGAGCTCTGTAGGAAAGTTGACTTGCAGGAGAGACACAAACACTTTGGTGATGGTTCGGCCCTGTGATTAATGAACATCAGACAGAATCTAAGAACACACAGTGAGAACACACAATTAGCAGAGACCAAGAAGGACAAAAATGCATGGGAGTCCTTTCCTGCAAATCAGCAGGACTGGATCTGCCCCAACTCATGTTGAGGTTCCAGGCCTGCCCCAGGACCTCTCTCAGCCTCAATGTTGTAATCTACTTACTGGGCATAAAGGTACCCACCCCCCCTGCCTGCCTAAAAGCCCACATGGAGGATCCCAAAGGATAATTCTGATGGGAGCACCTTGAAAAGTCACAAGTGGCCTGCTGGTTTTCCTAATGATGGGAGTAATGAGTGTCCTCCGAGAGAGCTGTGGTGTCTGGGGGAAGCCCCGGGACCCGGGACCGGCACGAGGATCCCTTATGAAGGGCCGTCCTGCAGGGGGGCCCTGCCTCACGCAGCACGCAGCGTGGTGGAGGACGCTCCCTGGAGGCTTGAGGAGGATGTGCACGGCCTCCACTGAGGCCCCTGCCAGTGCGCTTTTCACGACACCTCCAGGACCTTGAGGCCAGAGGTCTCGGGCAAAGTGTGAGAGATCTCGGCCAAAACAGAGGACCAGCCTGGTGTGGTGTGACTGTTACAGAAAGCTGAATCTCATCGAGAGACCAAGTGACACTCAGAGGGCTGGAGAACTCAGGTTTATTACGCCGGCGGGCCCAGAGGAGTTAACACTCTAAGCTCTGGACCCCGTCTGTAGGTTTACACAGGCTTCTATAGGTTTTAAGTTTCAATTAAGTTTGTGTCACAAGCAAATGACACAGTGTTAAAAATGGACCAATCAGGAGTGGGCTTTTGGGAAGCAGTGGAATTTCAGGGGTAAGTTTCATTTTCCTGGAAGCAAGCCATCTTACAGAAGCACAAAAGCAGGAAGGCAGTGGCCCTGCCTGGGAGGTCCTGCTGGTCCCTTTGTGGGTTTTGCCCCTTCGTGACCACAAGAATGATAGCCTCAAATCCTCCCTTCATGGCCCTGTCGCCACTCCTGTAGTGACAGGGAAAGCTGTAGTTCCGTCTTCGGAGGAAGTGAGTCTGTGGGCAGCGAAGAGCAGAGCACCTGGAGCAGGAGGGCTGACGGCTTCCTTGTCTGAGCTTTCTCTGATTCACCCCCACAGGCTCTCTCGTGAGCTCATCAGGAAGTTTGGGCTAAAGCTCAATGAGTTCCATGCCTCCCACAACCAGACTTGGGTGCTGGTCAACGGGGTGCGGAGGCGCACGGGGGACGTGCAGGCCAACCCCAGCCTGCTGGGCTACCCAGTCAGGGCAGATGAGGAGGGGAAGACAGCAGAACAGCTCTTCGAAGAATCACTGAGGAAGGTGAGCCCGGGCCCCACCCAGCCCCACGCAGCAGCCCCGGGGGACAGGCTCTCCAGCCCTTCACAGTGGCCTCACAGGCCATCAGAAATGTCCCCAACACTGGACGAGGAGGTAGACTCCCACCTCTGTAACTCCCAGGGTGACAGGGGGCAGCTCTGGCCCCTATCTTTACACTCCTGTCCTCTGTCCAGTAGTTAAGTTTCCACTCTTGGGACATTCAGACTTGTGGCACACCGTCCTGGAAGCCAGGGGAGAGCGCGTAAAGCCAGCCTGGGAGGCACACACAAGTAGAAGCGAGTGAGGGAGCCCCGGAGCATTGGGGGGCGGTGCTGGACCCCGGATAGCCCAGTGCCCCTGAATGGGGTGTTTAGTTCTCACCAAGTACCCATCCTTCCCCCATGCCAGATGGTGGAGGAGCTGGAAAGCAAGAGCTGCAGCCAGGTGCTGGAGAAATATGACTCCTTCTCCACCAAGGTCAGTCCCGGGACCCCCCTCTTCCTGCTGCCCACAGCCCACCCTGTCACGCTCCATGGAAATCACAGCCATCCCCTTCCCAGCTAGTGGCAGGGGGAGCCTGTGAACCCCTGCCCCGCCCTCCCGGGCAGACGGCCAGAGGGCGCCTGCGCACTCACGCTGCTCCACATCCTCCAGGGGCACAGCACTGCCTGGGAGGGAGAGGGAGCCCCTCCTCGCCCACTCCCTCGACCTCCTGCTGTTTCTCACTCAGCCAAGGCTTTGGCACCGGCTGTTCCTCTGCCTGGGAGGCTCCTCTGGCAGGCATCCACAAGGCTAGGCCCTCACTTTCTCCAACCCCTTTGAGTTAAGGTGCCTCCCTTTCTAGCCCGGCACCCTCCCCTCTTCCTTCCTTTGCGCTGTTTCCACCACAACACTCATCACCTCCTAGTTCAGTTGTTTACAGTCTGCATGCCCTGCTAGAATGTAAACTCCTGGAGGTCAAAGGTTGGGGGAGGGAGGAGGAGGAAGGGAAAGAGGGAAGGTGGCGAGAGAGATACAGGGCTTGGAGACTAAGGCAAGCTTGGGACGGCTCTCAGCTGTCTCACCGTCCAGGCACCCCACTCACAGAGGGAGGGAAGCTACCGCCCTCTCTGGGCTGTCACACAGCAGTTCTTACGCTGTATCTCCAAGAACTCTTTGATCTTGCTTTTCCTAGGATGGTGGGGCCCTGCTGTCTTGCCTCTGGCGTCACCAAGCATGTTTGGTAGAGGCATTTTGCCAAGGTAGAGGCTAGGTCAGCCATGCCCTGCCATCCTGGTGGTCCCTGTCAGGCCTGCCCCTGAGTGCCCAGCCGCCAGTGTCACCTGCACTGGTGACAAGGGTACTGACTCGGCTATGGACACCCTTTGGCCCTGGGCAAGCTGGACAGTTCGCCACCCTAACAGGTGAACCCTTCTAGCCAGTTCTGTTGTGTGCGCTCTGGCCTTGCCTGGGAGGAGGGAGCAGGGGTGAACATGGGGCACAGTCCTCAGTGGGCTCACCGGAAGCAGAGCCTCCAGGTCACTTGCTCGTAGGCTGGCCAGGACCACAGCATGACGCTGGGGCATGAAGGCAGGATGAGAAAAAATATTCAGTACCCAGATTCCTCCAGGTGAAGGCCCAGGCCTATCAGGCTGAGCCCAACATACTTGCAGGTTGACAAGAAGACTGGGCCTCAGTTTCCCCATCTGTAAAACAGTGATAATAAGCTACTTCTTAGGACCACACAAGTGAAGGACTGAGCAGCATGTGGGGGGGGGTGGCCTGTTACCAGGGCTGAGGAGAGCGCTGTGAGACTGTCAGAGCCCAGCACACCAGGCAGACACGTGGCAGCCTGGGGCCTGACTGAATGTGCACCTGCCATTCCACTCTGTCCAATTCTGTTCCTCCCTGTCTCTGGCTGCAAAGCAAGGTTCTGTCACGTTGGCCTCCTGACAGTCGAACTCCCCTGCCTTCTCTCACTGCGCAGGAATACCTGATCAAGGTGGGAAACCTGAGCCTCGGGGCCGTGCAGATGATCGGGGACCTGCTGAATACAGATGCTGGCTACTACCTGCCCTTCTTGGAGACCCTGCGTGACCTTGTCTCCTTCCAGGAGCCCCGGTGGGAAGTGTGGCAGGGAACTGGGGAAACGGGCGTGAGTTAGCCAGTCACTAACCAGGACAGGGGTAGGAAGAAAGATTCAACAAATCAGGTAGAAAATCCCAAAAGAAATGGGGAAGAGGGGAAAGCAGGGGTTTCCAAATTCCAGTGAGTCTCAATCTTGTTAAAATTGGATGACTGGACCCGAGCTTGAGCCCCTGGTTCAGTAGATCTGGGCCAGGTGCTGAGAACGTGCATCTCTGACACGGTCCATGGGCCGCTGCAGCTTTTTCTCTTTCTGCCTGGGAGCCCCGCTTTGAGAACCTCTGGCTAAGAGGCAGTCCATCGGGAAGCTACAGATCTGCTTTGCTCTGGGCCTCACCTGCTCTCCCATTACACAGA